GAGTTAAAGCACCCAAAGCAATCCTCTATTGATCTGGGTATACTGAGTGACGAAACTCCTTGACTATAGGGAGTTGCCAACATCCCTACTCCTCATCAATGCTTCATGAAAAAGGAGGCTGGAGATGTCTGCACACCATCCGCCGTCATAATAAACTTGAAGTTAATTCACTGATACAGTGGCGTCAGAAGGGGGGTGTGGCCCGCACCCGGGTGACACCATTGGAGGGGTGACACCAAAATGACTGTAATTTTGGTGTCACCCCTTCTAAAAAGCTGGGCACTCGGTCAGGGACAGAGAGGCGGACAGTGTCGGGAGAGAGAGGAGGGAACCCGGTGGCATACCTCATCCCGCCAGGCGTCAATTAGATGACCCACATTCGCGATGATGTCACGGCGGGGTGTCACGCGGTCTCCGTTCCGGGTAACACCCGGCCTCGGGACGCCTCTGAGTGTCAGCACTAATTCAGAGAGAACGAGGGCTTATTCCAGTGATTTTTCCTAATGGCAGATTTCCTTTTATTTCCTGTTGCATCTCCAAAAAAAGGATGTGAAGAGAAATCTCTCCAACTGGACATATATGGCAAAAAATGACCCCAGGGGGGTTTTAATGATTCCCGACGCTATCCAAAATAAAAAGGTTTTGGCTCTGGATATACTTTAGGAACAACTGCCATTGGTATCAATGCAAAGGCAGAGATAGTTGGGCACATGGTGAATGGTCGATACAGATGTGTGTAGGTTCCTGCCCGCGCGAGCACTTAGCAATGTTCTTCTTATGGAAAAGTAAAAAAACAGATGTCAGAAAATACTGTTGTTGACCTTTGTGAGTCACAAACCTCATGCATATGCAGTGACTCAACATGGATATAATCACACACCAACGCACGTAAAGCACACGCCTAAAGTGCACTGCAACGCAATAACGCAAAGTGACAAAAATGTGCTTTAAAAAAAAAAAAAGAAGGTTGGGGGGAAGAAGGGCACATTGTCATAAGGGACTTGTCAAACCTACAGTACAAATGCTCTGATAAGGAAACACTTGGATGTGACTCTCCTCCTGACAGATACCTGATCCGTCTGTTCTGTGTGTGTGGCCTGGCAGATGACGCAGGCCGGCGTGTTATGTCTACCGCGATCCTCGCCGATTATCCACATAGGGAATGAGCAAAATGGTGACAGGACAACGCAAACCGGAAACTGCCGCCATTCATAAAACCAAATCAATGGCCGCCCTCATTTGGAGGGCCTGTCAACTCTTTGGGAACCAAATCCCGCAGTCCCCGTTTTCTCCACAGGCGTCCCTCTTTTTTTCCGCCATACAAATGTTGTAGCGCAACATTTTAACAATAATGAATCCGGATCTTGCAAATAGACATCACCCGGCACAGTGTTTATTTATATTATTGCCCAAGCACTTAGTCGTGTTTCTGAACAGTTCAAACTCTCTCAGCTTGGCTTCCCTAAACTTCCTTTCCAGTACAAGATCACAAGGGACAGAGCAGTCTCCAGCAGCTGTCCATCTACTAGCCTGGAGAAGAGAGGAGGAAGGAGAGGATTGTCTTGCCTTGCTGTGTGCTTACTAGTACACACAAGGGTGCCTCTATAGGACCCTGCACAGGAATGGAGCCACCCTAAACCAGGATATCAAGATATAATTCCTGTGCTCTGTGCCACCGTTGTATCAGTTCTAAGTACTACAGTATCACACCCTAGTAGAGGGGTGAGGCTCTGCAGTCCGATCTAGTTTCTGTTGTACTGATACAGTACAGTACATGAGTGTTGTCACCATGGACAGGAAGCACAAGAGGAAACTGGCTTTTTGGGGCTTGTTCACACCACATGCAGTGCGCCCCACCCCGATTCTGGCCAGAACGCACTGCATCACATTGTAGCCGGCTCACTATGTTGTGGGGCAGGAGGGACAATATTTTTATCGGACCGGACCGCAGGCATAATGTGCCTTGCGATCCCATGTGCGGCTGATTACATTGAGGCCGGAGGGCGTGGCTACTGTGCCATTCACTTCAACGGACCGCCACGCCCCCTCCTGCCCCACACAGTGAGCCCGGCCGCAATGCAGTGCGTTCTTGCCAGAATCGGGGCGGAACGCACTGCATGTAGTGCGAACGAGGCCTAAGAGGACACTGCAGTATGTTGCGTGGTGAAGGGAGCTTGCCCGCCTGAGTTTTAGATTGTAAGCTCTCGTGGGCAGGGCCCTCCTTACCATCTTGTCTTGAATTGTAATGACTTCCTTATATTGTAAAGCACTACGCACACAGTTGGCGCTATAAAAATCCTGTATGATTATTAGATTAATAAAAAATATAATATAATATTATTATTAATAGGATTATTATATAATATTTCCATAATAACATTTATTATTACTACAATAGTTATGCACAGGATTTTTATAGCGCCAG